TATTTTACTCAAGCTGAATGGGTGTGAGTGTGTAAACTGTTAGGTTCATGTTATATCTATCTGGTAAAGTTATTATGGCGTTCTTATTCCTTGTTGTGACAATACCTGCTTGAGTAAAGTTGACTAAAAAATTACAGTTATCGAATCTAAAGATTCCTCATGGCTGTTGATAGTATTTAGTCATATGTGAAACTTGTGAAACAGAGTCTACATGCAACAGGTCAATATTGCCAATGTTTAGAGATTTTAAAACTATTTTATACTATTCATATGCCCTTTATTAGATAAAGGAAAACAACTTTAAAATCTGATGATAGTAGATCATATTTCAGACATGTAGAAAGCAGACTATGAAGCAAATAGGCCATTAATTAGTACAACTTTAAGAGAGTTAACTTGATTTAATCCTGTTTGCCTTTGACCAGGAGAGGGATAATGTCTCCTAAGTTTAATACTAACAGAATAATCAGACATTTAAAAATTGTGGGCTGAATCTTGAACACGACAATATCCTGTACAATATTAGTATAATACATACAGATTCAACCAGAAGAGGGATAACACCATAAAATTACAATCAATGGAATCTTCTGATTTCATTTTGCCTGCTCATAGCAAATCACACTTCATATTTAAAAGCACACTGGGCTGATCTACAGTACTAATTTTAAGAGATTTGTTTAATAGTATTACTTATATTCCCTCAACCAAATGTGTTTGAAGTGGAACAAGTTTAAAATCTATATTTTAATGGAATTTATTATTTTCTTTTGGGTTCTTATACTTCATACTTATGGGCAAAATCTAAAAGCAGTGGGGCAATATTGCATGTCTTAATTTCCTTGACTACATTTATCATACAAATTCCTAATCCAAAGCTGGCATAAATTGTTTTGCTTGTTTGTTGTTTGTTCCTACACAATATTCTAGCTACATGATATCTGTAAATAACTGAGTTTGTACCAGACAATCCAGTTATTTAGATAATAAGCATCCACACATGCAATCATTCAGACTTGATTCTAAACAATGACTAAGTCATTGAGCCTGACAACCATATCCACATCAGGTAGCATTGGTTGCTGGGGAAAATTACACACAAAAAAGTAAATATGAAGGCATCATTTACCTTGACAGTGTCATCTCAGTCCCAATATGTTATCAAAGAAGCTTCAGCTGCTTGGCCTTCTAACACAAGGAGCAGATGACCCTTTCAAGCAAATTGTGAAGGGGGGGACAACTCTAACCGCTAATTCGTTCAGCAAATATAATGTTATTGATGACAATGCATGGAATAACAAGTTCAAGCTGCTATGAAGGGCTCAGTGAATTTCCCATTTATATCAAGGTGACCAGGAAGGGGATTTTCAAAGGAACATTAAAGAAATGTTTTTGGATAATTTCTACACCATAATTTTTCTTCAAAGTTATAACTATAGCCTTCTGAGATGGGGCACAAAGTCTCCCACTTTTTTCATTCTGAAGTAATTATGCCTTGTATGTCTGGTGTCTGTTACAAACAGCTTCCATGTACACAATAATGATGAAAGCTATAAATGATCATTACTGGCAAATCGTATATGCTAATAGCAGTAATATTAACACAACATTACTTGGAGGCTAAACATGTTATAAACATAGGGAGCCACTAACTGCTTAGGGGGCCATGTGAACTTTTAGGGATGAGAACTTTAACTGGACCTTTCACTCAGCATTATCAGAATAGTATTACCGGTATGTCTGATGGTGTGTTACTGAATACACCCTACCATTATAAATAATAGATCACCACTCTTTTTACAGTGTCATGAATGTGTACATGAACCTGTATATTTTTCGAGTATTTCATAAGAAATATTCTCTGAAAAGTATGACCACGCAACATACCAATCTCTTATATACTCTCACAAATGGCATAACACAAATAACTTAGAAGTCTTAAATCCCCAAAACAAACTTGAATTGTTATACATACATACCCATCAAGAATGGATGTAACATCATTAAAAAAATAATTATGACATAATTTAATTTTCTTTTATTCCCCGTTCTTACTTTAAAAGAAACTATTTACTGTATTATTACATAAAACGCTGTGCAAAATGGCCAGGCTTGCCGATATTTAGATACAACTTACTATATTTTTACACATATTAGCATAATTATTAAACTATAAAATCAAAGTCCAATACCATTCACATCATATATTTTCTGGTTCTATTTGTGGGCATACACGTATATTGTTAAAAGGAATAATTAGCTATATTTTAAAATATCATTAGATATTGCATGAAAGTCATATTTCAAGTTGAGCAGTAACCATTTCTGGGAATGAATGAATCATTATGAATAAAAATGAATGAAAACACCTGACACCTAAATTCAGCATCCACAACCAGGAACATTAATTGGTCGCTCACTTATTTTAAGCTAGTAGAGTAATTACAGTAAAGCGTATGAAAATGAATTCTATTTCGTTTCAGTTTCACGTTTCTACATTTTCTGCGCTGCTATATTTAGCTATTATGGCGGACATCGACTATGGAGCGCTGCCATTGGCATTTTTTGCAATCAGTAGTTAAAATAAAGGACACGAGTTGTGCAGCTGATTTTGATCTTAATAATTGTTTGTCGATTAAATACATAGTTGACAGTAAGACGTATAATTCTCCATATTAGTTATCCCAGTTCTGGTCGTATCCCAGTTCTGGTCGCAACACACGTTCGCTCGTAATTCCTCAAGGCGTCTGCCCAGCATGACCACAAGAGCTATTGTCTTTCGTTTTTTGAATTTGGCGATTTCGATTTTCGGCAATCAATCTTATTTCTCATATTTCTAACCGATAAGTAAAATGTGCATCCTATTGCTATAAACAATTTGAAATTAGAAATTAAAGGGCATATTTTGTCCTCACAAAATATTTCAAAAGAAGTATAAGATGAAACTGTCTCTCTGAGGTAGTGCAACAACAATATATAATACAATAGTTTGATAAAGTAAAGTGTCGTCTGCTCACATCTATCAGAGTTCTCGTCTACTATTGTTTAGACATGGAAGCTATGTGAGCATTGTTAAATCCAGGGACAACCCGCATTCTGCCAAATATATTAAACACTAAAGATACAGTTTGACCAATCAGAACACGTTGTGCGTTCTTTCTCATTTCCATTAATGAGAACATCCCATTACGTTTCATGTCAGAACCCGATCTTTTACCTGAGGTACGGTGGTTAAGTCTTGTGGTTAAAGCTTTCGTTCGTCCTGCCAAAGACCCGGGTTCGATTACCCACATGGGTACAATGTGTGAAGCCCATTTGTGGTATTCCCCGCCGTATTATTGTTGTAATATTGCTAAAGCGGCGTAAAACCGCATTCATCTGCCTCATTAGTTAATAGCTTATCTGTTTGGTAGAAGGGACGGTTGGGTGGCCTAGTAGTTAAAGCTTTCACTCGTCACGCCGGAGTGATTCCCCTCATGGGTACAATATGTCAAGCCCATTTCTGGTGTCCCCTGCAGAGATGTTGTGGGAATGTTGCTAAAAACGGTGTAAAACCATACTCGCTCACTCACTCATTGTGTGGTAAAGGGACAGTCGTATGTAGTTTCTTGTCTAAATGTTTGACAGAAGTTGCTGAGGCTGAAAATAAGAGCACTGGTTTTCCACATGCTTCCATCTTTACAGGACTGGCAACGCATTTGGCTTACATGTTTCAATCATGGAAGAACTGTTGTCCTCACGGGAGTGACATTGTACTCAAAACATTGTCCAAATTATCAGAACTATCCAAAATTGTGACTAATTCGATCTGGACGTGTTGGAACAGCTATCTACAATATGATTACACTAGGAACTAGAAAACAAGAAACCATGTGATGTAGCGATGTTATTATAATGCTCACTTTACCAGTGACAAATATCGCCGTTTTCAGTAATATTCCAGCAATTTCAAGGCGGTGGAAACCATAAAAGGGCTTGGCATATTGTACCCATGTGGGGAATCAACCAAGGTCTTCGGCGTGACGAGAGAACGCTTTAACTCCTAAGTTGACCCACCTCCAAGAATATTGAGAAATAGACTACTCGGCCCAACAACTAAATTTTGGGGACGCCAGAAATGGACTTCACGCTTCATACCTATGCGGGGAATCGAGTCCTTTGGCATGAGGGGTGAGCTTAAACTTTCCACTTAAAATGAGGATGAACCTCCTAAATGCATCCCTTGTGACAAAAGGTTCACATGTATCATATGTTATATTTGGGATATACACTTTCTTAGCAAAGTACAGATTCTAGTAATTTTTGGGTTGAATCCAATGCGGGATTCGAACCCACACCCTCAGAGTCAGGCACCTAATCGCTAGCACACAAAGTCAGCCGATTTCCACAGATTTACTTTACTAAGAAAGTGTAATCCCAAATATAACATATGTTACCTTTGACCACTTTCTTAATGGCATTGTGTAATCTAAAGGTTCACAGTCAAGCATATTTTCCTGGATGGTGTGGACTTCATTCTTTTGCAAAGGAGACGGTTATTGGTCAAAAGGATCTTTCTATTCGTTAATGCAGAGATACGATTTTGAATACTTGATAATTAAATTACAATCATAATGTTCTTTGTGTACACTACAAACTGAGAATTTTGAGGCAGTATCATTTCAACTGGTTGAAATAGCATGAAATACTTGCTTCAACCCCTTCTCAGTCATGCTCACATTCACTTTCCTTTGTGGGGTGGTTTGGTAGCCTAATGGTTAAAGCGTTGGCTCGTCACGCCGATAACCCGGGTTCGGATCCCCACATGGACACAATGTGTGAAGCCCATTTCTGGCGTCCCCCGTCGTGATGTTGCTGGAATATTGCTAAAAGCGGCGTAAAAACCAAACTCAGTCAGTCAGTCACTATCCTTAGTAGTAGATATTTATCTCTATAATAGTTCTTGTCACTTTAATCATTACTGTGTAAGCACTGATGAAAAAGACAAGAAAAACTATGAATAATATGAAATTATGAATAATGCCTTGGACTTTTTATTCTTTTCAAGTTAAAGTTAATGAAGGCTGATCTTTTGTCATGTGGAAAAAAGTCTTAAAGTTTGGTTACAAATTGGTTTTAAAAAAGATACTTTCATAATATATGAATTAAGTGTTGATTCAGAGGGAAAAAGTAACATACATTCTGATTAAACATTGAATATTTAAAAAAAAACCACGTGATCATATGACGGACATGTGATAGTGAACATATATATGGGAAACAGCATGTCCACAATTGTAAATACAATTTAGTATGGACCTCCTGAAAGCTGCAAACAATGTTGATATTAAGCACCTGCATCTAATAAACTCAAAAGAGACATTGTTATATAATTCTAATACAAAGGGTAACATATCAATATACGCACTTCAAGCGACATTCATAACAAAGTTTATCTGCACTATCAATGTGAATGTTACTTCTATGTTTTTTACGGCCAGATTATCGTATCCAATTCTGAATTTCAACAATTGTCTCTTGTATTAGCTAAATTCTGAAGACTTAAAGTTCTGGGACTGTCGGGTTTATGACCGTCAGATGTCATCAGTCTTACGATGGTGTCTGCCTTGTACATCATGGTTGCTCCCAGGAGATATCATTGTAAGGCAATTCCCTCACGGTCACTTGTACAACGCTGGAGCGATATACATTAGAAGTGAAACCGTTTGCATACTTGTGGATATTGGTTTGTCTGTACTCATTTACAGTTTTATATTCAGATGTCCAATTTCCTTTGTTTTCATTGCTCAAGACACGTGGGACAGATTAAACCTGGAGTAGTATTGGCAGTTTGAACCCGGAGTAGTGTTGGCAGATTAAACCTGGAGTAGTATTGGCAGTTTGAACCCGGAGTGGTGTTGGCAGATTAAACCTGGAGTAGTACTGACAGTTTGAACCCGAAGTTGTCTTAGCAGACTGAACCTGAATTGGTGTTGGTGTTTATACCATGTGTTGTGTTGGCAGTTTAAACATGGAGTAGTTTTAGCAGATTAAACCTGGAGTAGTGCTGGGAGAATACATCTGGAGAAGTAGTGTTGGCAGAATACAGCTGGAGTAGTGTTGGAAGAATAGACTAGGAGTAGTGTTGCAAGAATACATCTGGAGTAGTGTTGACAGAATATATTTAAGGTAATAGTGCCACAACAAACCTTGAGTAGTACTGACAAAATAAACTTTGAGTAGTGTTGACAAAATAAACCGTAAGAATTTTGCCAGAATATACCTGACATACTGTTGACAGTATAAACCTGATGTGGTGTCGCAACTGACAGGGGAAAGCAACACAACTCATACTATCATCTGTGTAAAATATGTAAATCTTTGATGTAAGACGACCAGTGAAAAGCTCGTCACACCTTTTAAAAGAATACGTGGTAAAGGACGGCAATGAGCACCACCAGCAGAGCCAGTGTGAGGAGTCTGTGGGACGACTGCTTCTGTGTACCTTCAGGCAGAGGTCTGGTCTTAAAGGGGTACTCCATTCTGTATGTCTGGGTCATGATGGCCTCCCGGGCCCCCGACCAGGAGCCCGGCCCCCTCAGGCGGAATTGGTAGGGGGTGGTGGGGCCGAAAAAGCACTTGAGTCCAAGTTGCGGATCGGTGAGAAAGAGACGACCTGAGACAGAAAGTTTGAGTAACTTGTAGGGTGAAGAAAAATGTGCACATTAGAACAACCATTATTCTAAAGATTCTCTAAACTGAAATCAGTCTGATAAAACCAAGACTCTTGAATCCCACCATTGTTTCACAACGGACCAATAAGACAGACCAAATGCCAAATTTGTTCGATATTCTCAAACATTTTCTGGAGGGATGAGGGTTGACTTTATGGTGACATCATTCCTATGTTCAGTTCTACTAAGAGGAGATTATTTATATTCGAATATATTCGACTGACATCCCACAAGCTCTGCCAGTTCGTTCCAGCCACCAAAAATGGCAACTTCACGGTCTCAAACTTAAAGGTCACTTGCAACGTAAAACACAACTTTGCAGATTCCGATACCTTTCGGCATGGACTTATAGATACAAATCATCAAAAAATGCAAATTGAACTTATAAAGTTGAAAAATAACGCGATGAAAAAAACGCCGCGAAATCGGAGTTCAAACGATTCACTAAATTCACCCCAGCGCTTGGGGTGAAAAGTGGTTTTGAACAGCTGTGCTGCGCTGTGCTGGGCTGCGCTCATAGCACATGCGCAGTGAAATAGGTTCGCGCAGCTTGGAAGCGGGATGTCCGGATTATAAGGTCGTGAGCAGGAGTAGTCTAATCAAAACAAATAGTAAATAATCTACTCATTACAAAAAAGAACCTTGTTAGGATCAAGATCTACTCAACCAGTGAGGCGTTCGACATTTCAAGACGGAAAACCTCCGCTGGCGGTGAATACTCGGTGAAGGCTTTGATGTGACCTATTTTTCTAATGTTTTGTTGATATTTCACAGGCGCTAGCTTTTTTATATGTTATGACAGTAGATTACCGATTTAACTGTTTATATAATTTCATTTGTCTATTTCACCACACGTTCTTCTTACCGAGTCACTTTCTCAGTTCGATACCTAAAAGCAATGTCCTTATTTAGCGTTGACAGAATTTCTAACTGTGATATAGATATGTCGTTGTCACATACAGACAAAACTCAATGTCTGTTTTATTGACACCTATGTGTCTGCCTGTCCGTCTGCTAATGACAATATTCAATACGCAACTTCGATCACTGACCACATGCAATTTGAAGTTAACACCTATAAGGCTATACACCATAAACAAAACGCATTGATTTAACCCAACATATTGCACTTTTAATTTGCGATTGCACGCTTATAATTTTGTTTATATGTTTTTTTCATAATCAGCAACGAATATTATATGTCATGACGAAGTGATAATTGTGTTCTAATTATGTTTGAGTTTTTGGTTGCATGTGACCTTTAAGCGTGACTTTCACCCCGTCTGCGGTACACTCGGGCAAATTTCAATGTGAATAAAGATTCGTCGCTGACAACTAAATTCCGCTGTCTTTGATTAAACCTTATGTGTTCATCTCCCTACTTCTGGAAGTTGCAGTAACAAATCTGTTCGAAAGATGACGTAATCGTATTGCTTGATCTTCCCGGACTGACGTCACACATCGGTCGGCAACAGTTCCGGTTTAATACACTCTCATCCTAAGATTAAAAATTAAAGGATCTTGCAACAACGACCACAGATTGACCAGCATCAAGCTTCCCCACAGCACATTGACGTTCTTGATTTGAAAGGCGTGGAATTTCCAAACAAAGATTAAAATGAAAAGTTAAATTTGCTTTTCCAGCTCACATTCAATGTGCGTGTTCAGTTGAAGCAAACATGCACGAAAAGACTTCATGAATTTGCTTTTCACAAGTGCATTTAGAATTTTTCAACTTTATAGACTACAAAGTGTAGGTTTGCATGTGAACTTACGATTTCACGAAATTAAAGCATTATCAATTTTGCTGAGTACAGTTTTAGACATTTAACTAGGGGTGACAGTTGTTGACAGAACACTTGGGTATGACTCGAGATGAGATAATTAAGCATTCTCAATTGGAAGAACATCCCATTCTACTAACGGGAGATAATTCACCATTCACCTATATTCGGCCGACATCCCACAAGTTCAGAGAGTTCGTCCATGAAGTCGACGTAGTCGACCTGTATGGTGTGACGCTGGGACTCGACATATCTTGCCGCCATGTTTGCCTCTTTCTTCCCAATGTCCGCCCACATCTCGTACTTTGAAGGGAGACTGCATATGCCCTGGTGAACACAGATTATGACATGTGGAATGTGTTGGAATGTACATGAAAGGCTGTTCTATGGAAAGGGTTTTGTCGCTTCTATCTGTATACAACCAAGTTCCCATTTTGAAGTAAAAGGAATAAGGTCCAGATGTCCCAGCAAACTCTCAGCAACAAACAAATCTCTGGACAGTGACTGAGGATACGGTTGGTTTTATATTCGCAGACTCGGATCAGGTTTGTCCTGGTAATAAATGAGTGATTCATTTTCCGATATCAACTTATTCCAAACAAAGAACCAGTAAAGAACCATTTATGCTTACTTTGAACACTCTGGTTGCAAGGCGACACTGCAATTCTGCAAGGGGCATAATGGCGCCAAGAGGCTGAAAACAACCAATCACCACCAATGTCTGTTTCGGTAGGTCAGGTGGAAACATATATTTGAACATCTTGACCTTATTATTCTGAACGTTGATCACAGATTCATCCATGAACGGGAAGCCGAATTTATATCCTGTAGCCAGTATGATAACGTCGATATCATCTTCCACCGTCCCGTCAATGAACTCTACGCCAGTCTTGGTAAACCTCTTGATGTCAGCCTTGATCTTTAAAGAGCCAGTCGCGATTCTGTTGGGCATGTCATCGTTTACAGTAGGATGTTGAGCAAACACCGAGTGTTTAGGCATCAAGGAGTACAGCTCGTGGTCGAAACGTTTGTTCAGAGGTTTTTTTAGTATATTGCTCAGTGTTTCTTCAGGCATGGCGTGTCGAATGGTATTGAACCAACGCGTGTTTAGAAGAAAATCGCCGGGAATACCATTGGTCGCAATTCTGTTGAGCACCCAGGTACCACGCCTCGTACTCAGAAACACCTGTGCAAAGAAGAATCAGGTCTTCATTCATCTTTTTGTGGGATCCAATATTATTAAATCAGCAATATGTTTGAAAGCACACCAGCATATTTCAGCTGAATGACGGATGTATATAATCGAGACTGGGCCAGATAATGCAGTGATTTTGAGCATCCATGCTCCCGGCCCACATTAAATATATCATCGACTCCTACCTCCGTGTTGCATTAAGTATTTTGAGATAGCATATTGATAATATCAATTCGTCCAAAGTAAGGATGATTGTACGTGTGTGTTTTCTAATGCTGCATTCTGCACTATATTAGCTGTATGAAGGCTGTGTAAACTCGAGTCAGGACCAAACAATCGTGTGAGCAACCATTCAGGATGGTTGTTACAGGGCACAGGCTGATTATCGATTCTACCACCCAATGCATTAAGTCACTTCTCACTAAATAAAGCCTAATTAGGGTTGGCTTTCAATATCAGCGACACTTACCTTCCCCACCCTGCTCAGCTCCACAGCCACGTCCCCGCCTGAGTTACCGACCCCGATAACCACTATCCTTTTCCCAACGTACCCGGTCCAGTCCTTGTAGTCATGAGAGTGAAGGATCTTCCCCTGGAAGTCCTCTTGACCGGTGAAGTGTGGCACATTCTTGCTGGCGTGATGACCCGTGCACACCATCACAGCGTCAAACACCTGCGTCTCGTCACTTCCGGTCTTGTGATCTCTGATCTGCAGATCCCATCTTCCGGTCTGCTCGTAGTCACTTGATTTCTTCACGGCCAGGATCTCTTTGTTGTATTGGATGTGTTTCGTCAGGTTGAAGGCATCTGCATACATCTTGAAGTACTGCCATACCTGGAGTCAGAAATCGTTTGACTTGAAAATAAAGTCATGAGGACCTGTCAATCACTCTCTAGTAGACCTCAAGGGTTCGCATTTCGGTAAAACTACACTAATTCCTGGTGCCATTTCCACGATATCACGATCTCAACTTACCCTCTCTTGGTGTTCAAGAACATTTTATCAATGGACTTCTAATGGACATAAGAAGCAACATTTTTAGGTTTTGTATCTGCATGTCAGTCAATTCTTTAATGTTGAATTTCCCACAAACACTATTGAAGTCAACTGGGCTGGCTGCCATGCTGATTGGTTCGTTAGCCCAAACAGGGCAGCAAATGAATGAGTTTAGTTCTAAGCCGCACTCAGCACTATTCCAGCTATACGGCAGCGGTCTGTAAGTACGCTTAGGCTGCATTGGGAAAATGCCATGCTAATGAATGCTTACCTGATGGAGCAAAACCTCCGAAATCTACGCATGAGCCATGAGCCAGTTGAACCTACCACTGGAGCTCATCAGGAACCTTTGCATGAACAGAATGCTCAAGTGGCAGTACACCCACAACTTCAAATGGA